CAAAAAAAAAAAAACCTTCCATAAATTGCCACTGCTCCAGGAATAAAAACCAAAATCCTTAGCATGGCTTACAAGGCTATACATGGCTTGGCCCTCATCTACCTTTCTCCCTAGCCACATTTTATCAACTCCACCCACACCAGCATGCTTAGAATTCTTCAAAGGGGTCAAGCTCCTCTTCTCTCAGGGCTTTTGAACACTTAGAACACTTTCTTAGTCCAAGTAATTCCTCCTGATCGGTTCAGAAAAGCCAACCCTGAACCTCTGGCTCTGATCATCATTACCCACACCATCCCTGTTGAAGTCAGATTTTCTTATTATTGTACTCAAAGAACTACAGTCTTTACTTTCATAGTACCTACCTCAATTTATCATTTCACACTCATCTGTAAAAGTATTCTAGTAAAATGTCTTCCACTAGAAGAAGGATATGCAAACCATAGTCTGTGGGTGCCTATTTTTGCATGGCCCACAAGCTCTCTGGTTTTTACATTTTTAAAGGGTTCAAAAACAAACCAAAATACACAACAGAAACCATATGGGGTTAGCAAAGCCTAAACATTTACTTTCTGTAAAAATTTACTAAATATTACCAGCAAAAATACTAGGCTCTAAGCACCATGAAAGCAGGGTCCATGTACATCTCACTATCTTCCCAGACTTTAACACTGCCTGCCATATGTGCTCAGAAAATGCTTGTTGAATAACTAGGTGGAGATGTCATCAAGAGCTGTAAAGGCTGGGGGAAAAAAATTTAAATGTTAAAATAAGAGCAAAGGAGCAAGGAAAAAAAAAGAAAAAACAACCAAACACCTAGAAAAGGGAACTTTAGAGACGTTACTCATTAGAAAAGTTAACAAAGAAGTGAAACTGTCACAGTGTGTGAAAGGTCAGATGAATTAAAATAACCCAGTAGATAAAAATACCAACAAACATCTAAAAAGATGTTTCCATTTGAAGCTTATCCTCCCCACTATCAGGGAATTGTTTCTAATTATTCTGCCCTCAGAACTAAATCTCCAAGTCACAAAAAATATACCATATCCAGGATAGAGAATAAGGTGGGAGGGAGAGGGAATGGCAGGGAAGCAGTTGAATCCTTACCTGTAACACCTGCTGAATGCTCCGAAGCCAAGAGACACAGTGCTGCTGGAATATCTCTGTGGGGCTCTCCCCTACTAACAGGGACAACAGACACAGGCCCTCAAACCTTACAAGAAAGAAGAGAGTGATGACAAGTGAGTGGAAGATAGACTTCAGAGAAAACTACTGACTGTTCTTTTATTCTCATTGAGCTGCAGTAAGACTTCAACCCCAGACCCACTGTGTTTTCTAACCCCTGAAATACTTGGAGAACTTGAAGTGAGGTGGGAGCAGCAAGAAAGAAGGGAGCAGAAATAATCCTGGGGGAATTTAGAAAACTTGAAAGCTGGAAAAGGTGAGGTTCAATTCAAATGAGTTCACAAAAAGAATGAAACTCTCCACCCTCTCGGGAACAGAAAAATCTCTTGAATTCAAGGGGTAGTAACAATAGATGGACAAATGTACATATAAATAGCCCATTATCTAAGGGAACAGACCCCTGGAGAAAAAATAGGGTTAAAGACTTACCGAGTTTTGATGGAACTGAGACGTGAATTACTGAGACTCACCAATGCTCCAAGAGCTGAAAGGTTCTGGAGGAAAGAAAACAGGGAAGTGAGACAAGAATAGGATGTTAAAGATGCAGAAGGATTTCTCCAAACCCTTCTCTGTTCCAGCAATCAAAGAAGACTTTCTGAAATCATACCTCTTCTTAGGCCAAAAGGTCCCTCGAGAGACCTCAGGCCTTTGGCCTTTCTTTCTGTGGGTAATACACAGCAGCCTGTCCCTCAGCCTTTCCTCAAGTTATATATCACCAGACCCCTGACCCCAAGCCTCCCTCAAAAAGTGCTAAACAGAAGACAGCCCAACTCATCCAACTAGCAGGCTTCAAAAATGGGTCTGCTTCACCTCTGTATCCCTGGACAGCACCTAGCACAGAGGAGACATTTCACAAATGCTTGCTGAACGAACACTGAACTCATCTGTTATCCTTCCTCCTTCACTTCTCTACAAATCCTCCTTCTCCTGTTCCTGGCTTCCTTAGAGCCAACACAGACCTAGTCAACCAGAATCCTCCTTCCAATCCTTCTCTTCTCTCACATGCTGGAAGCCCATGAAAGATGTTACCTTATCTGCCCCTGCACAAGTAACCTCTCCATCTCCTGACTGGTCAGTCCTCTCTTGTGGCATCTGTAGCTCCCTAATGGTATGCATCACTTTCTTTCAACAAATACATAACATACCCTGGGTCAGGTGAAAGAATACAGAGTTGAATAAAATAAATAAGGTCCCTCTCTTCTTAGGGAAGAAAATGTCCATTCATTTGTGTGACATATATTTATTTAATATTTCAAATGAGACATTATTTTAGGTGCTGAGTATCTTATTTTCTAGTTAGAGGAGACAGAAAATAAAAAGTTTGCAAAATAAATGTACAGTATGTCAGATGGTGTTAAGTACTTTAAGGAAAAATAAAGCAGAGTGAGGAAGAACAGGAGCGCCCAGAGACAGAGCAGAACAGCTCAAGATTTCAACACACTACATCAGAACAGCATACAACTTAAAACTTGTAAATTATTTCCAGAATTTTCCACTTAAAAATTTTGGGACCACCAAGCAATCCCCCTATTGGGAATATACCTGGAGGAACTCAAGTCATTCTACCAAAAAGATACCTGCACATGCATGTTTGTTGCAGCTCTATTCACAATAGCAAAAACATGAAACCAACCATGCTGCCCATTGAAGCTGGACTGGATTTTAAAAATGTGGTACATATACACAATGGAATATTATGCAGCCATAAAAAAGGACAAATACTGTGCAGTAACTTAGATGAATTTAGTCTATCATACTCAGTGATCTATCACAGAAACAAAGAACAGAGTACCATATGTTCTCACTCATAAGCAGACCTTGAACAATTATCATAATACTATAAGAAAGGGATTGGCAGTAGTGGGAAACTGCCAGGGGAGGGGTGTGGGATTGACAGCTGAAGGAAACTGCCAGGGGAAGGAGGGACACACCTCATCAGCAAGGATACCTGCATAAGGAACATTTGTATACCTAACCCTGAAATGTACTCCATATCTTTAAAATAAAATTTAAACAAATAAAGTGAAACCCAGTCATGACTCTCAGCCCTGGTACCAAATTCCCTTCCCCTCTACCAGAAGGTTCACTCCAACAAGACAAAAGAGAAATGATTTCCCAGGACATCGGAGATGGTTTGCCTTACAGGAAGAAAGGAGTAAGAGCATTGTTATCTGTGCAGAAAGAAAGAATGGTAAAACTGAGATACCTGTTTGTTATTCAACAGATTTTCTCAGCTTGAAAAAAAAAAACTAACAGACGCCGGGACTTAAGGGAGTTAGAATGAATGAAGAAGTGAACCATTCAATATGTGACTGTAGTGTCTGCATGTATCATAGATGAGTTCGTTTTAAGAAAGCTAAAATAGGGAATTATGACAAGGAACCAATTTAACCATAAACCTCACTCTTGTACTTTTCTTTCTTCGTGGTGATTTTATGCAGCAGGTTGAAAAAGCTACTCTGGGCTAGGACAGACTGTATACCAATATTTTGGTAACCCATGATGAAAGATGTCTTTTTCTTCTTGTATCTTTTCATTCCTATCTTTATACCAATAATTTACAAGGGTCTCTGTAGTTTGAATGCTTGCGAATTACTTCAAAATGCTTTAACTCTACTTTTTGTTTTGTTTTTTTTTTTTTGAGTTGGAGTCTCACTGTCTCCCAGACTGGAGTGCAGTGGCCACTCCCGGCCACTGCAGCCTCGACCTGCTGGGCTCCGGCGATCCTCCCGCTCAGCCTTCCAAGTAGCTGGAACTACAGGTGCGCACTACCACGCCTGGCTAATTTTTGATTTATTGTAGAGGTGAGGTCTTGCCAAGTTGCCCGGGCGGGTCTCGAACCCACGGGCT